TCATTTTCTTGCTATTGAGTTGTTCATGTTCTTTACCTATTTTGGGTATTAGACCTTTATCAGAGATTTGGTTTGCAGGTCTTTTCTCCCACTCTGCAGATTATCTCCCCATTCTCCTGAATATTTCCTTTGCTGTGCAGATTTTATTTTGATCTAATCACTTCTATTTTCACTTGTGTTGCTGGGCTTTTGGGGTCATATCTAAAGCAGTCATTGCTCAGCTCAAAGTCATAAAGCTTTTTTCCCTGTATTCTCTTCTAATAGTTTTATAGTTTCAGGTCTTAGATTTAAGTCTAATCCCATTTTGATTTTATTTATATATATATATAGTGTAAGATAAACCTCCAGTTTTCTTTTCCTGCATTTGGGTGGACAGTTTCCCAGTCCCCTTGCTGAAGAGATGGTGCTGGCCCGTGGCATGTTCTTGGTGGCACAATGAGTTTCTCATAGACAGCATGGGACAGGTCCATGTTTTTAGTCCACTTTGTTTTTAATGAGACCATTTATATTGGGAGTAACTACTGAGATGTTAAGACTTAAGTCTGCTGTTTCGTTTTTTTGTTTTGTTTTTTTGTTGTTTTTTGCTCCTCTTGTTTTTAGGTTTTGTTGGCCAGGCTTCCTGTGGCTTACTGTCTTTTTGATACGTTTTGATAGTGTTTTTAGGTGTGCTCCAGTAGTTTTTTGGGTTTGTGCTTGCGTTTGTGTGTTTTTAATCATTACTGCAGTATCTCTGTGTCTGTATCTGTAACCTTCTATCTATAGGACTTATCAGTTAGACTGCTACTATCTTACGATCTTACTAGTTTATGGGAAGAATAGAAACCAAACCCCACTCTAAAATTATTCACCCTATCCTGTTTATAATTATTTCAGGTATTTCCTAGCCATACTATTCATATCAGACAGGACAGTAGTTTCAAAAGGCCGTTTTGAAGACTCAGCAGGAAAGCAGAGGCCTTTTGCATTTCCTGTTTGTGCCTACTGTGTTCCTTCTTCCCTCTCTACATTGCACCTCCCTCTGCAGCCGAGCTCCTGGATGTGAGGGGCAGCGCCTGAGAGCTCTCTGTGGGGTCTCTGTGCCCCTGCAGCTACTGGAAAGGGGCCTTTGACTCCTGTTGTCCCCACTTGCTGCTGCCATTCTGTCTTGTCTTTGATTTTTAGACATTTAACCATGATGTATATTTGTGTGGATTTCTTTGGTTTATTTTGTTTGGGGTTTTCTCGTCTTCTTAAATATATGGTCTCCTTTCTTCCCTTTGGCCTTTGCATTTCTTGGTGGCACTGTCATGGTGCTTGCCATCACCGCTCTCCTTGTTAGTGGCTGTCTCCAACCAGTGTGGCACTTCAGGACTGTTGTGTGCACTGACAGGGCAGTTCCTGGGCCATGAGAGATGAGGGTCTCAGGACTGAGCTGTGGAAAGATGGGCTTCCAGCTTCTAAGGTAAGGGGGCGGCAGATGCAGAGGCCCCATGATGGAGGTCTCTGGGAGAAAGGTGGAGGGATGATGGAGACCTTTACCCTCAGAATCCATGGCTGTTGAGTCGGGAGATATGGACTTGACTTGGCTCTGAGAGAACAGGAAGCCAATGGGGTCAGTGTTGCTTGTTGAGCCCCGAGAGTTGTCGATGAAGTTGTCGATGAAGGTCAGAGTGGTGAACAGGGAAGGGGTTGGACTGAGCAGGTGGGGGCCGTGCAGAGACAGACAGGTGGGTGGATGGCCTGGAAAGGGTTCAGTTCCGTGCCTTGCCCCTATCGCATCAGAACCTACTGGAAATCCATGCAGCTGGCCCGGGGCTCTGCCCTGGGAATCTGGAGTCCAGGTGTGTGCCAGGCCCAGGCACATCTATAGGCAGTATCTGCATGGAGTGGCACTGAAGCCACAGACTGGACAGGCTTGCTGGGTGTGGGTGGGAGGCTTGGGGGGGGCACAGACTCTGCCAGGTCCTCCTCTACCTCCTGTTAAGTGAATTGAAAACATGTTCAGTCCAGGCATGGTCTGTAATCCCAGAGGCCAAGGATGCTGAAGTCGGAGGATCACCAAGTTCAAAGCTAGCCTTAGCAATTTAGTGAGACCCATTTTCAAAATAAAAGCTAAATAAATTAAAAGGGCTAGAGATGTGGATCAGTGGGTCAGCACCCCTGGGTTGAGTCCCCAATATCCCTACCACTACCAAAAAACATTCAATCCCAGGCACTGACGAGAACAGAAGAGAAGTTTCTAGAAGGCCTATAGGGGAGGGGTTCCAGGAGGAGCTGCCCATCCATTGTGATTCCAGGTGACCAAGCAGGGCAGTGGGCCCTTGCTTCCTGTTGAGTCCTTTTGGAACCCTTTTGTACATTTTTTTCTGATAGCCCCTGACTCTCTGGGCGGATGGGTCAGTGTGGGCTGGGTGGGAGCAAGGCCTGGGACACCCTTGGGTCCCATGAATAAACAGATACAGCAGCAGATGGGTTAGGGCTTGTTCACCCCATGCCTCAGAGAGATCTGTGACTCCCAGAGCTTCAGTAGGAGCAGAGTGTTCCCCAGGATCAAGTCCTGAGTCCCAGGAGACCTCATCTATCCACGGGACAGCTCCTCACTCCTACAGTACACAGAGCCTCTGTGCTGGCTCCCTCCTGCCTGCAGATGAGGAAAGGCGCTGGCCTGTGTGACAGATCCCTGCTGACAGCCTGGAGCCGGAAGCACCCCGGGCAGGCGCTGACCTACTTTCTCCTCCCTGGGCTGGAAACATTTATGTAACAGACGCCGCAGGGCCCTGCTGTCCCTGTGGTGAAAGGAGATGCGTTTAATTAAAAAGGAAGCACTAAGCCCTGAATTGGCCACAGCACGAGGGGTTCTTTGGACCTGGTGAATCAGCCTCAGCAGAAACACAGATCTGAGAGAAGAGTTTTGCCAGGCTTGTCTGGGGGTCTCTATGGATATTCGCAGTTGTGCATTTGAGCAAGATATTCCTCTCTCCCTCAAGACCCCTCCTCCTGAGTGCCCTGCCTGGGCCTGGGCTCTGCTGGGACTGTGCACTCACCCTGGCCAATAGAGCTCTCCCCCATGCCTCCCACCGGGCAACCAGCAGTCACACGAGGCTGTGTGCTCAGCACTTAGGTGCCTAGTGAATTTTAGTCTTAATGTAGAGGGCAGCTTGTGACCCAGTGGACAGCGAGCACAGAGAGCACTAACGTGGAAGAATGGTTTTTAAAACCTCTTTGCTACGTAAAACCCGCATTCAATGCCATGTAAGCATAACCCGCGGTTGCTCTTTGCAGACCTCCCTTATGCACCCAGTGAGCTGTGTCTGTGCTTAATTTTTCTGTTTTCCTTCTAGCGTATTTTTTAGCAGAAATATTTTGATGAGGAAAAAATTTTGTCCCAACTCCTAAGCCCCAATCTCTCCTGTGTGTGCCTGTCTCAGTCCCCAGCTCCGTCACATGGGGCTGGGTAGGTGGGCTTCATGGGGTTTTGTCCCTGAAGGATTGCCATGAGACATTCCTGCAGGTAATGCTTTCCTTTGGTGAGGACTTAAGTGTGCCGCTCTCTGTGAGGAGCTCTCAGTGCGAGCCGCAGCCTCGCCCTTCACCTTCCCAGCAACTGCCCTTCTCTTGGTACACACCTGGGCAGGTATGCAGGGAGCCTGGAGGCCTGTCCATGGTACCCCAAATGCCCCATTCTGGGCTCCATGGACCCTGGCCCAAATCCCGCCAGCACTGCATGCACCCCACAAACCAGCAGCCCCTACGTCCAATAAGCCACTCTTTGCTGTCAGCACCGGTCACTGCTGCCACCTACCTGACTGTTCTCCAGGTCCTGTGCATGCGTTCCATACCCACGTTCCGTCCTGTGCCCTGCCCTATTTCCTCTCCCCTCTGGTGACCCCCACAGCCCCACACTGTGCCCCATGCAAACCACTTCCGATGCCACATTCCTGCACCTCACAGGCTGCAGGAGGGTGTGTGCATGCCCTTGCAGAGAGCTACTTAACCCTGCACTGCCTCAGGACTCTTCAGCTGCAGAATCAGAGTCCGGTCCCCTGAGGTGCCTCCACCCCACTCCTCCCTCATCTGGCAGTTCCAGAATATCTCCTGGGCATGTGCATCTCTCACCCTCCAGCTTCTAGAATCTTTGCAGGACCCCGCTCCCTCCTCCTCGCTGCTCCACCCAACCCTGGCTTCTTTAATCCTCTCTGAGGCATGGCTGGGTAGCTCTGTCTTGTGCTGGGTGACCCCTAGAAGGGGATGGCACAGTGGCCTGTGGGGACCAGTGTTGGCCAGTAGCTCACTGGAAGGGCCTGGAAGCAGGTCACCACAGCAGCACAAAGCCATCACGTCCCTTTCCCATGAGCCCTTCCATCTTGCCACCAGTGATCCATCTTTGCTTGTAAAGAGTGAAATGAAGCCTTAATTTAGGCTGGCAGGCTAACTAGGAGTGATTGCCACAGAAAGCATATGATCAGTGCAGACCTGATCAGAGAGAGCATCTGCTGATGGCTTTGGTCAGGAGATGCCAGTGGTTTGGCATCTCTAGTGACCAGAGACTGGGTCCACATTTGGGCCTGAGACCACAGGGACATTGGCAAACGTGCCCTTCTGGCTGCTTGAGGTGATGTGGGTGGCCATCAGGGGAATGGTCGGAACTGAAACCACATGATGAGCCATGCTGGCCAAGCTGAGCGCACCGGGCAGGCTGTCTCCAGGACACTCCTGGGGGGTCTCTGTACTCTGTGGCTTTGAGAGAGCTGCTCCCATGACCCTCTTCACAGAGACTGCAGTGACCTGCCCAGGTGATGTGGTTAGTCAGGTGGGGCCAGAACTAGCCCCATGGGCTTTCCCAGAGGCTCATGTCCAAGATGCCAGGCAACCTATGCCCCCAGGTGAAGCCTGACCGGTCAGTGGAGGTGAGGGCAGTATGTTCACTCCCACTCAGGAGGCTGGAGCCCCAGAAGGCCAGAAGGTGGTTCCTGAGCTGAGGAGATCTTCCCGGTGGTCAGCGTCTTGCCTTCTCTTTCCAGGTGACGCCATCTGGGCCCCATCCATCCTTCTTCACAGCACCCTCAGTACCTTAAGCCATCACCCCCATCCACATTTTGGGAGAAAGATGGAGTCCAAGGTCTCTGAAGGTGGCCTGAATGTGACCCTAACAATTCGCCTGCTGATGCATGGAAAGGTACAGAGACTTTGTTGCTGTCAGAGAAAGGGGACATCCCACTGCCGGGGTCTTTGCTCTGTATAATATTTTTTTAGTCTAAGCAATCTCAGACTTACAAAGCCTCGCAAATACAGTCCATTACACTTTCCTGGAACCCTTCTAGACTACCTGGCAGCCTAATGCCCTGTCCCAGAGTACCCCGGGGCAAATTTCTTCTGAATGGCCCTCAGAGCCAGGGCATCCCTGCAGATGTGCCCCGCCTGGGCCCTGCAGGCCAAGCAGTGTGTGTGGCACAGCCTTTGATGGCAAGGGGTCCAGGCAGCACTGGAGCACAGCCTGTCGCCTCTTTCCAGTCTCCTTCCACCTTTGACTTTTGCTGGTACAAGTTTCTGTCCAGCGCTTTTGTGACGTGGCCCTCACTTTGGCTTTGGTGGATGTTTCTCTGCCAATGACAGGAATTCACGGCAGCCTTCCTGTCAGTGAGCCCAGATGTCACCACATCCCATTCCTGGTGGTGCTCACATGAGCCCCTGGGTGGGAGGCTCCTGCCCTGCTCCCTGTGTGCAGCAGCCCCTCTCCATGGTCAGAAAGTCCCTGCTGGGAAGTCTCTACAGCTACAGGCCTTCCACACACTCATTCATTCCATGGTCCACTTGGACTCGGGCCCTCTGCCTTATCCAATGGGCCACTTTTCCCTGTAACTGTTTTGATCACTGTGGTGCTTGCCACTCCTACAGCACTGCCTCCCTTCATGGCTCATCTTTTCCTTTCCTGGTCCCCATTCTCGAGTCAGCCATGTCTCTAGAAATGGACTCCTTTGAGTGCACAAGAATATTTTGGAGGCTGGGATTGGGCCCTAGGAACACTCCTTGGTCCTGGCCCCTGAGGGACTTACACAGAGCCAGGGAACAGACACAGTTCCAACATCCTCGCTCTGAATTCTCTGTCCATGTTGTCCACCCCTCCAATTCCATCCCAGTAGCACAGGGCTCATGGTGGTGCCTGTTCCCCCAGGGCCTGTTCCCAAGAAAGCCAGCTCCTCTTGTCTGCACAGTGTCTCCCAGAATGGCAGGCAGCATAGGGCTGGGCTCTGGAGCTGGTGGGGCTGGCACAGCCAGCTTTGCAGAGGGCACATCCCTCTAGGCAAGCGTGGGCACTCTCAGACCTCCATTTCTGTGGTGGAGAGTGACTGCCTGGCCTCCTCCTGATGCGACTATCTGCAGACCAGCTGCTCAGTCCCCTCCAGCTGCCACCACTGCCACCACACCCTCTTGTAGGAGGTGAAGTGGGCCTGTGACAGGAGGGTACACCACTGCCCCTGCTCCCCTCCCTGCTCCTTCATCCCTGCATGCACGCCCTCCCCATAGCTTAGGAGCAGTGTGTAGGTTGTTGAGGACTTGGCTCTGGTGAGGAAAGTGAGTCAGGGTTTGAAAGAAGTCATTCTCCATGGCTGGAAGCCATGCTGACCCTGTCTCAAGTGACATGCCCCAGGGACCTCTCTGGGGCTGTCCTATGTGCAGAGAGATACTGGTACCAGCCCCGCAACAACATGTGCCCCACCACCAGTTGCTGCAGCGTGTGCCAGTACTTCTCTTGGTATTATGTCTTTTAAAACAGCAGTGTGGCACTGCCCTCTGGGGAGTCACAGTCAGGATTTCCTTGAGGCGGCAAGTGTAGAAGTGCCCTCCTGAATCCCTGATCGAGAGCAGCTGGCTGCATCCTCCTCCTGGAGAGTCAGTCAAGCTGAGAGCAGCCCTGGTCTCAGATAGATGGACCTCTCTACAGACAGCCCAACTAGGCACTCCCTGCCCCCGCCACGTAGTCCAAATTCTCCCCTCTTGGGTTGAGAGTATGGCCCAGTGGTGAAGGCTTGGTTCCATCCCCAGCACCACGTAAATAAACGAATAAGTAAATACCAGTCCCTCTTGTCAGGAGGGTGGATGGGTTCTGCAGCATCTGCCCCAGTACTGACCTCTTCTGCTCTGTGACGTGATCTTTCTGTGATTTTCTTTTTTCTACAGGAAGTTGGAAGCATCATTGGGAAGGTAATTGGTGAATGAACTCTGCATCTTTCAGGGTCTCTGTAAGGACATGGTGAGGACAGTGGCAGCCCTGGTGATGGCTGGCTCCAGCACCCTCACAACCCCAGCAGGCATTCCGCTCTGTGCTGGGGAAGTGGAGGTCCCCGGGAGCACTGCCATTCAGCCTGTTGGCACCCCTTCCTGCCTCAAGCTGCTCCAACGTGAGGCTGGTCCCTGGTGAAAGCACAGGGGGAGGCATTCTTCCTTGGCCCTGGCAAGGCCCAGATGGGAACTTTAGCAGCCCCACCCACCACCCGCTGCCTTGGTGGCCAACCCATCTTCTGAGTATGTGACTCCAGGTCATTTTTGCTTGCATTCTCCAGAAGGTGGTGAATCTTCCTTGTGTTTCCATCTTAAAAAAGCAAGAGTCCCACAGGGAAAGGGCTGTGTGGAAGCTTGTGGCTCATGAAGGAGAAGAGCTGAGGGGCACTGCCTTCCCTGACCATCTCTGGGACCCCATGTCCCTTTTCTCCACTGCCACTATTCTACAGGGAAGCCTCCAGTTGTCCATGTCCAGCTTTCTCACATGTTCTTTTTGGAGAGGGCCTCTCAGGGAGTCACCACTCATGGAAGACGGTGCAGCCCTGCTGGCACCACAGTCTCAGTGCCACCGGAGTGAGCACACATACTTTCCCATACCTCAGCTTCCTCACCTGAGATGACGGCAAGGTCGTCAGGGAAGGGCTGGCCCAGTGCAGGGCAGCGTGGAGGCTGGCCCTGCTGTGCTGCAGGTGCCTCCCTCAGGACCCCACACAGCAGAGGCAGCTGCCAGAACCAGGGACACACCAGGGCCACATGCCCCACACAAAGCTGCCAGTGACACTTTTCCTTGTTGTCTAAATCTGCATTCCAGAAAGGGGAAACTGTGAAGAAGATGCGTGAAGAGGTGAGTGTGACTTGTCCTGACAGCATCCTGTACCCCATTTGGGATGCGGGAGGGTCTGGGCTTCACCTGTCCTGGGGGCCTGCTCACCCCACCCATGTGCACTGGGATGGACAGCCTGGCCTGGGGTGAGGAGGGCCACTCTTCCCTCCAACACATGGCATTCAAGAGGGTTAGATGAGTGGGGCACAGGCACCCTTAGGGATGGCTTAGATTCCTTTTGTTAACCAAAGTTTCCCACTAACAGAGACTAGTGGAAAGAGCCCCACTGCTCAGGGCCAGACACTGGGCCATATGTGACCTGGAGAGCCCAGGTTGGTACTGCCCAGGTGGCTTTCAGCTACTGCAGCATTTGCTCTGCCCTTGCCCTAGAGTGGTGCCAGGATCAACATCTCAGAGGGAAACTGCCCGGAGAGGATTGTGACGATCACAGGCCCAACGGACGCCATCTTCAAGGCCTTTGCCATGATTGCGTACAAGTTTGAGGAGGTGAGGTGCACCTGTTTGAGCCCTCTGTCAGGCAGGGAAGGGCAGGCTGAGCCAGCTCCTAGGGCACAGGGGCCTGGACCAGGGCATGGCCCAGACCACCTAGCACATCCTCCTCTTGCCTCCTCTGCCTCCCAGGTACTCTTCCCAACTCCTGTCCACCTGGTGAGGGGCCAGCATCCCTCCTTTCTCCTGAAGCCAGCCACTCGTAGCACATGTACTTTGGAGAAGCCCACCTCACTCATGGTTGCTCAGACCCTGCCCCTATACGTCCAGCCTGACCTCAAAACATACCACACTGACTTCCAGGCCTGCTGCTCACCCCCAGGCTGGGCCACATGGCCCTGCACCAAGCCCCACTGTCACCACCCTTGTCCTGCTACCCCACCATCACAGCCAGCCTCCCAGGAGAGTCAGTGTGGCTGGGCTCCAATATGGACAGACAGAGCTGGAGACATGGGGTGTGTGCTTGCCTGCTAGTGGAAGTGCACGTGTGTGTGTGTGTGTGGCACTCTGAGCTTTTGATGGTGAGTTAGAGCTTAGTGTCTGTGTGTTTCCACTTGTCTTGATCCAGAGACGGGAATTGAGCCAGGAAATTAAACTTCTCTGTCAAAAATGAGGATGGCCAAGTAATGAGGCAGACTTTGTGAAAGTWAACAGGGAGCCCTCCGAGAACAGGCAGCAGTGTCCGTGAAAGTGGCTATGGCAAGGGCTTGGCCACCGTTTCTTGTCATAGGCAGGGCAGGAAAATGTTGCATTGTAGACTGAGTGTGGGTCCCAGGTGTGCAGTTGGTGGCAGCTGGGGCCTGTGAGCTGGAGGTGACTCCCAACTATCAGAATCCCCATGTGAGTACTTGGGGGTCATATCTGCCTGCTCTGGCTGGTCCTGGGTGGGAGGTGGGAAGCTGTGGTCACCAGCCAGGTCCTGACCATTGTGGGCCAAAATGGCAGAAGCTATGCTCGAGCTCCCTGGGCAGGCTGCTGCAGAGGTACAGGCCAATACCCTCTTGCCACTTGTGGCCTAGCTGTCCCCAGTGTGCAGAGCTGGTGTCTTAGTCTCCCCTTCTGGTCACTCTCGCCTGGGGTCCAGATTTGTTCATGCTCACCTGTGCTGGGAGAGTCATGACCTTTGGCCGCTATGCCATCTCAGCTGTCTGTGATGAGAGTGGTTGCACTGACACACAGGGGACTCTGGAGAGAAACAGCCATGACCACTGTGACAGAAAAAAAAAGTGGTGTGTCCCTGAAAGGTGCACTGGGTCCACGTGCCCAGGGCCCGGGCTGCGAGGCTTGGCGAGCCAGTGTTGTTTTCCCTCCAGTGATGCGTGGCTTGTGCCCTTGATCCTCACCCAGCAAGTGTTAGCCATGGTGCAGATGCCACCATGACCAGCCAATAAAAAGGGTGCCAGCAGGTGGTCGGTCTGCCCTACCCCTAAGCACTTCTGCCAGGGTCAATGGTGGGTCCGGCAATCTTCTCATTGTGTGGTTCCCACAGGGAAGCACTGCTCTGGCTGTGCACTGAGCAGGAAGTCAGTTATTCCTCCAGAAGAGCTCCTGAGTGATGAAGGTGGCCTTGTTTTGGGACACAAATCTGAGTCAGAATTCCCAGCCACAGCAATTTGTAGGATCAAGGTCTCTGTGCAGAGAGGTCTCATAACCCTCTTTCCATGAGGTACATGAGCTACCAGTCAGTCTAAGACTAACAGGCCCTGAGATTTCCTGGTTTCAAAGGCAGCAGTGCTGGCAGAGTCACCTGGAGGCCAGGAAAGAATCGTTGCTCGGGACAGAACTGAACCAAGGCTCTGTTGGCTGGTCACACACGGTCTGCAGTCGTCTCTTCCATTGCTCTGTGAAGGTTGTTGAAGTCAAATTTAGACTAACCAATAGATTTTCTCACTGATCAATAGACATCTATTTGTATTCCTAGAAGGTAAGGAAACTAGCAAAGTCACAAGCTGACTTATGTAGGGTCCCTTGCCCATGTTTGTGCAAGTGGAAAAACCGTCAGCTGCAATACTCCAGTATCTTAATCGACAACACTAGAATTACCAGGCAACAGTTACCATTATTGTTATCCTGGGGCTCTGGCAACCAGTGGCACAGTGGGTGGAAGGTAAGATTGAAGACGGTGGTGAGATGTGGCATGATCTAAGGATGACACTGAAAGCAGTATGTGGTCTAACAGATACCATATAGTGAAAAGAAAAGAGACAGGAGCCATCATCAAGGGTACCAGCCAGGGACCTGCTGGAAGAGGAGGAGTGTGTGTTGCTCAGCTTCCCGTCCCTGTGACAAGGACCTGAGCTGTCAACTTATAAAGAGAAAAGGCTTATTTTAAAGGGTCAACGATTGGGCAGAACCATTGCTTTCAGGCTTCTGGTGGGACATGGGCAGCATGTGCCCAAACAGTACACCTAATGGCTGGGACACAAAAAGGAGAAGAGAAGGAGAATGGGGTCCAACAGTTTCCTCAAAAGCACATCCCCAGTAACTTCAAACCTCCCAATAGGCCCTACCTCTTAAAGATTCCACTGCTTCCCCGCAGCATTAGCTGGGAATCAAACCTTTAACACAGGGACGTTGGGTGACCTTTGCATTCCAGATGCAAACCACGGGAATTCACACCTGACCCTCAAAGGCTCGTGTTCATCTCACAATTCAAAGTGCACTGAATCTATCTCCAAGTGTCCCCCAATCCTTAACTGTTCCTTAACTGGCACAAGGTGAAAATTCACATTCTGAAATGAAGGAATAGGGGAATGATAAGGAAGTATTGGGCCAAAGCAAGACCAAAGCTTAGCAGGGCAAACATTAAGTCCTATAGCTCTAGGTCTGGCATCCTAGGCATAGTCTGGTGGGATGTGGGCCCCAAGGAGCTGGGCAAGCCTGCCCCTGGCTTTCCTGGTGCCGCCCACATAGCCTCTCTCCTGGGCTGACTCTGCTTCCTGCCTGCAGTTCCCTCAGCAGTGTGTTTCATGCTCCTGGTACCTCTAACGTCCTGGGGCTTCCTTCCAGCTTGGGCTTCACTCTCACAGTTCCACACAACACCCTAATGCTCTTAGGGACTCCAACCCTGCCACACAGACCTGTCCTCCCAGGCTTTCCTTTGAAATCTTGGTGGCAGCCTCCATAAGACCATAATTCCTGTATTCTGCATGCCTGCAAAACCAGCAACAGGGATGATGCAGGTCTGCTGCCAGCCTGAGCTGTGCCTGGCCTGAGGGCCTGGCTAGTCTAGGGAGCCCTAGATGGGAAGGGTTCTCTTTTCAAAAGGCTCTGCCTTGGAAAGTCTTTGAAACAAATTGCACTGCTACAACTCTAAGCCTTTGATGACTAGGCCTTGCCCATTCTGAGATGCCCTCCAGGCATCCTTCATATTGTCCTAGTGTAAAGCACTTGACTTTTTAAAAATTGTGTTAATCTCTTTAGCAACTGCATCCTCCTTGGCTAAACCTTTGAACGGTGTTGTTTTCTGGATGAACTGGAAGTTTTCCAAATCCTTTTGCTCTGTTTTTGCTCCTACTTACTATAAATTTGGCCAAAAGCGGCCAATAATTCCCTTAATGCTACCTGAATGCTGTTTTGCCTTGAGATTACCAGTATCAGATAAACTAGTCTGTCACCATTAAACTCATACAATAAGTCTCAGGGCATGAACAAAATATAGACAAGTTCTTGTCTAGAATGTAACACAGGTTGGCCATTAGTCCAATTCCCAGTAGAGTTGTCATTTCCATCTGAAGCCTCATCAACCCAATCTTTTCAATCTGTTGTTCCTGTCAGCATTCCGGTCAGATCCCCAACCAGAATCAGCCATTAAACTCCCCTTAAAGCATTCTAGTCCTTCTTCAGTCTGATTATTCAAACTTTACTAAACTCCTTCCCTAAACCAATCCCCAAAGATTGTCCACTTCATCAATTATCATCACAACAACAGCCCCACTTCTCAGAACCCATTTTTCTGCTAGTAAGCCTTCCCTTACCTTAACAACTACTTGAGAGAAATCGACTTACAAAGAGAAATGGCTTATTTTAGCTCAGAGTTTTGGACGTTTCAGTCTACGATATGCAGAATTTTTGCTTTTAAGCTCCTGGTGGGTTAGGGGAGGCGGGCAGCATATCATGGCAGAAGCAAGTGGCATAGCAAAATCAAAGGCACACCCACGGTGCCTTTATACTCCCAGTCGGCCCCACCTCGTACAGGCTGAGGACCAAGATTTAACACATGCCCCCTTGGGAGACCTTCCAGATGCAAATTGTAGCAAATGATTATAAGCAAATAAAAACCAAAACAGAAATGAGAGGGTGTCCTGGAATGACATCTGAAATGGAGACTGTCCACTGTCAACAACTTTCTATAAAGGGCTTGGTCAGCTTTCTATTTCTGAAGGGTAGCTGTTTCTAGAGACACTCTGACAAACCAGTATGAGTCCTCCCTGGCATGATACTCTGAAAGGTCCCTCAGGACCCAGTGTGAGTCCCCTCTGGTGTGGCTTTCTAGAGGGTCCCTACACTGTGAGGCCCTCTTTGGAGTGATGGTTTAGGGTTTAGAGAGTCTGTGAGGGCCCAGTGTGAGTCCCCCCTGGTGTGACTTTCTAGAGGGTCCACGAGACCCCAGTGTGAGACCCCCTTGGAGTTTTTTCTGGAAGACCCCTGTGGAGCCACTTATGCTGATAGGCCTCTGAGTGGCTTCCTAGGGTCTGTGGACTGCTGAGTCATGGTCTTGGGTGAAGTTGTGGAGCTCCAGAACCCACAGCCTGGAGTCTCTGCTGCGTTTGTTTCCAGCAATGCCGTAGAAGTCCCCTCCCAGTACGGCTCCAGAGCAGCTGCTCTCTGGTCTTTTGTTAGGAGATGAGCCCTCCTGATGCAAGATCATGAAGAGGGTGTTCGGGAAGCAGCCTTGCCCTGCTGGTGATGGGTGGGAGGATGGGTCCCTTACCATACATTGCCATTTCTGCCTGCAGCAGGACAGAGCCTAACATCAGGGTGGAATCCCTGAAGGC